CTGAGGCTGTAGCTCTGTGGTAGAGCTCTTTTGGGTTCAATGCCTACTATTGCAAACAAACAACAAACAGAGCTCATAGCATTCAGACTCCAGGCGCTCCTCACCTTCCCCAGCAACACAGATGGGCACTGGTGGCTCCGTGCTGTCAGTGGCAGACTGAGGCCACAGCAGGACAGACGCTGCCCACAGGAACAGATCAGGGTTAGAAAGGTCAAACTCTCACCTCCCCTCTCCTCCTTCTGAAACCTTCCATGAGCAAGGGGATGGAAAACTTGCCATAGGCAGAGCTCAGAAACAGGCTCCCTTGTCCTGCCACCCCGTCACACTCCCCTCGGAAGCATGGCTCTACACTGTGGCCTGAGCCTGTTCACAACCCCAACCCCACTTCCCCTACTGCCTCCACCCCTTGACAATCAACTGCCCAAGCTCCCTCACTCTCCCCTAGTCCTGGTCTGAGCAGGAGGGCTCCTGCAGTACCCCAGGCCCCTCCATCTGGGCTGTCAAGAGGTCTCCTCAGGCCCATCTTAGGGCTCTTCTCTGTAGCCCAAGGGAAATGGCTCTAATTCTACAGTATGGCCAGAGGAAAAAGCTGCTCCCCCTTTTCCCTCTCTGGGTTGCCCAGAGGACAGGAAGCTCCTCCTTAGCTTCCTCCCCACCCTTCCGGCATCACCCCCATCCTGTCTGCTGTCCAGCAGGGACGATGCTGGTGCTGGCCATCCTGCTGCCTCTGGTCTCCCTTCTGCTGCTCTCCACTGTGGCCGCCTGCACCTGGAAGAGCCACCCTTCTCTCTGCAGAAAGCTGGGTAGGAAAAAGCCAACCTTCTGTCCCCCATTAGGGCTTGTGGTAGAGGTGCAGGGATGTGCAGCTGACCCAGGGAAAACCTCCCCAGCCCATGCCCTTAGGGCTCCGCCCTGCTCCCCACCTCCCTGCACACAGCACTCAGCCCTCACTCCAGGCATGCACGTGGGGGAGAATAACTTGACCTTTTCCTGCCAGGACCCAGGTGGGGCAGCATTGCAGCGGGGCGCCTGGGCGGTGGGAGGCTGAGGGCTTGAGGCCTCTCCCCATCTCACTTTTCATTGCAGGGTCGCTGCTCAAGAGGCATCCTGAGGTAACCGGGGAGGCTAACAAGGTCACGGTGGGGGAAGGTGACCAGGGGTTGGGAGCAGGTAGAAGAGCACAAAGCTGATAGTTTATTGAGCATGCCATGCACCAGGCACTGTGCCAGGCATGGGGTGGGGGCTGGGCACCAAAGGGAGCAAAGCCAAGCACCTCCCCTCCAGGACTTTATGGGCTACCAGTGAAAATAAAGTTAACCATGAGTCAGGGTGAAGGACGAGGGTGTGTTGTTTTAGACGGAGCAGGCAGAGAAGGCCTATCCCATACACTGATACTTGAGCAGAGAGCTGAGGAAGTGAGGGAGCCAGCCAGGGAGCTGGGGGAACACACTCCAGGAAGCAGAGGCTTCATGCCAGCGCCTAAGGCAAGGGCTCTGTGAGGAGCAGAGGCCAGGAAGGCAGCACCGAAGTGAGGAGCTCCTGAGATGAGGTCTGGGAACCTTGTCCATGGCTGGTTTTCTGCCTCTCTTCCACAGAGAGAGGAATCACCCTCCTGCCCGCTTCCAAGACCCAACTCTGGTATCCCTGACTTGGTAAAGCCACTTCTGCCTGTCTCTGGAGATTTGTCCCTGGGCCCCGCTGGACTCCCTGGATCCCCACTTTTGGAGGAAGTGGTGCCGCAACAGCAGTGTTCTCTGGGCCAGACCAGAGAGCTGGAGGCTGAGCTGGGGGAGCAGGGCCAGGTAGCTCACGGTGAGTCCAAGCAGGCCACAGGTAAGGCAGTGTGAAGGAGGGAGATATGGCCAGGTAGAACAAAAACACCAAGTCAGGGAGGACAGAGATCCTGTTAGCCAGCCACTATCACACCTAGAGAGATGGGAAGAGTTTGGAAACTCATAAACTACCCAGAGCTCCAGAAGCTGGGGGCCAGGAGAGGGAAGCCGGAGGTGGGTGTGGAAGCAGTGATAGAGCCCCTTGTTGGGGTCTTCCCTCTCAGTGCTCCTCAGCCCCTCTCATTCCACTTTCTTTTCTACAGGTGCCAGTGGCTTTCATGTTGCCGGGGGCTCTGTGACTGTCACTGGCAACATCTACATCTATAATGGGCCAATACTTGGGGGAGCACGGGGCCCTGGAGACCCCCTGGCGCCTCCAGAGCCCCCATACCCCACTCCTGAAGAGGGTGCACATAGCCCTTCACAGCTCTCCAGGCCTTACCAGGAAGATGGCAAAGCATGGCACCTGGCTGAAACAGAGACCCTGGGATGCCACGCCCTCTGACCAGGCCGGGGCCAACTCATCATTCATGGCTGATGGTGTCTGAGAGACAGAAGAAGAGGGGCCGAGGCCACCTTCCTAAGGCTGCCCCACACATAGGATTCACCAGGGCCTGGATAGGCCTCTATAGGCATGGCTCTAAGGTACCAGGCCTTGGATAACTTCCTAGAGAGGAAGGCGGGCACCAGCTGGGCACAGCGCCCTCACCCCTGCCAGTGAGAGCCTTCGACCGCAGTACAGGCCCACTGCCCACAGGAATTGCACCTGCCCAGCCTCAGGCACAGATGGGGTCTGTGACGCTGACTGCTGCCTACCACGGCACTCCACATCCCAAGCATGACTGAAGGGAACTCAGTGGTCACACGGTGGGTCACCTACAAAGGCATCTTCAGGATCTCTGGAGGACTCATGGTGCTTAGTCCCAAGCTTCAGAGGCCCTGTGAGGGTCCATACTTGTCACAGACCAAGGTGGACCCTGGGGACAGATGAAGTTATGTAGAGCATCACCCAACCCTCGCCTGCTGGAGAAGGGGAGACAGAATTAATTGGTCAAAACTGGGGGTTTGGGTAGAGCCACAAGGTATGGGTAAGAGTTTGGGAATGAAGGAGGATGACAAGTGTATTTATAAATTGTAACCACATGCAAATAAAAGATCAAGATCCAGGTAACTTATTTTCTTGAGATTTATATACCAACCTGGGTCCCTTTGGGTAGTATCAAAGCAAGTTCAAGTCCCATATGGGGATTTCTCTGGGGACCTGAAGATGCTGCTCAGATGATAGCAACATCAGTCAGAGGTAGCTAACAATGTAGGTAATATCTACATGCTCTATAATAATTACATCTTTAATCCTCACAACACCCCAAGAGGCAGATCCTGTTCTTAGTTAATGAATGAAGAACCTGAGGCACAGAGTGAGTAAATAACTTGCCCAGTTCAGTGGCAGATGGCAAAGCTGGGTTTTGTACCCAGTTGGTCTGTTCCTAGGGGTATTAAAACATCATAAGCCACAACCTTCCAGGTTTTGTTTGGTCAAGGGCTTTCAGGGATGTTTTGGTTTTGGTTTTGCCATAACAGGGGGTATAAGCCAGGGCTTATACATGCTCAGCAGGCACTCTACCACTGAGTCTCCTCCCCAGGCCCCAGAAGTTCTCTGAATGGTAGAAGCTTTCTCCCTCAGATCTCTTGCGTCCCAAACTCCAGCCACCATGCAAAGTGAAATGTACTTTCTAGGGCTGGCTGAATCAAAAGGTGTGCACCAGAAACGGGTCACGTCCATACTGTGCCTGAGCAGGCATGGGGGCGGCCTCATTTTAGTGCAGAAGGAGCCCCTTGTGATTATTGACCTATCTTTGTCTCATTTTTCTCTTGTCCCAAAAAGAACTTTAAAACTTCTCTAGCACTGGGCATGATGGTGCGGAACTTTAATCTCAACACTCTGGAAAGATGAGGCAGGAGTGTCACAAGGACGAGCTAGGCCTGGGCAACTCAGTGACTTGGTGAGCCACAGTGTGCCTGAGTCCTGGGGCTGGGTGTGGTGGTGCACAGCGGTAATCCCAGCCCTAGGAAGACGAGGCAGGAGGATCATGAGTTCAAGCCCAGCCTGTATGACATAGCAAGATCTTGTCACAAAAAGTGGGTAGGGAGAAGGCTGAGACTGTAGATCGGTGCAGAGGCCTCAGGTTCAATCTTCAGTAATAGAAAAGCTACCCTTTTCTCTAGCACTCTTATTAAAGCTGCTCAACCCCACTACCTAAGTGTTATACACGCTGCTGGGCCAGGGCCATTCTAGTTTGAAGGATTGCTAGGCTAGGGGCCGCCGGCTGACTGCTCCTTCCATAAAAGGTCACTGCTGCAGAGCCAGTGTTAAGATCTCTGTTGCTGGCCTTCATCAAGATGGTGTGGCCGCCAAACATGAACTGAAGGAGTCGTCTGGGGCAAGTGATGGGTTACTTAGGGTCACTGTGAAAGTATGAGATCTGGCCTCCTTTCAGGAGGAGCTACTTCTTCACAGAGAAAGACATCCGGCCTCCTGGGTGTGCTAGAGCCAGATGACACAAATCCCTCGTAATTGTTCCAATGACCTCAGATCAAAGAAAGAAAAATAAACATTTCTCAACACAATAAAAAGTGTCTAAAGAAAAGATTCTAAGGCACAGCTCTATGTGACAATGTTCAAATTTAGGATATAACTACTTGTACTGTATCAGTAGCAAACAAAGTCTTATTGGTATTTGCATGGAGATCGCATTAAATGCACAGATTAATTCAGGGCTTTGACATCTTCCTGGTGCAGGCTCTTTCTGTGAAGAACACAATATGCCTTCTTTATTTGTTGATAGCTTTCTGTTTGTGCTGCAGTAGCATCGTAATGTTTTCCTTGTATAGATCTTGAGTATCCCTTGTTTAGTCTGTTTGCAGGTATTTATCTTTGTGCTATAGAGGTGAGATCATCTCTTTTAATTTTTTTAACCCAGCCATCCACTGAATTTTCTCATCTGTAATAGATTTTTTTTTAATTCTCTGAGGTTATCACCTATAAATAATGTGAAATCTCTCTCTTGTCTAATTTTTATATTTCTAATATTTAAATCTTACATAAATGCACTAGGGCGAGCCAGATAGCTCAGCAGATTAAAGCGCCTGCGTAGGTAGATGCAGGGGCCTGGGGTTCAATCCCCTGCCTGCTGTGCCGGCCCCACCCCTGGGGTGTGTTTAGCTGGCAACTGAGACTGGGCGTGGTGGTGTACGCCTGTAATCCCAGCTTTTGGAGGCTGAAAACAGGAGGATCACTACGAGTCAGATCTGTGTAGTGAGACTCTGTAGATCCTGTCCTCTCCTCCTCCCCTCCCCTTCCTTCTCCTCTCCTTCTCCCCCTCCTTCTCCTTCTCCTTCTCCCCCTCTTTCTCCTTCTCCTTCTCCTTCTTCTTTTGTTACCAGGATTGAATTTAGGACCTTGCACTTTCCAGGCAGGCACTTAGGCTGCTGAGCTATCTCCCTGGCCCTTGTTCCTGATTTTCATGCTAATGCATTTAATATCTTCTCATTAAGCAGGAGATAAAATAGATACATTGACTTTATTATGCTAAAATAACATCCATGTGTTACTATTTCACAATAATCCAATGACTAATGGTTAAAGATGGGAGCAAGGAGCTCAGGGACGAGGCTTGCAGCCAGGACATGAGGGGAAGTGAATGGTTCAGGGCTGAACTTGGAAGGCAGGGAGCAGGATGCACTGGTGGGCTCACCTCCCAGCTCTTCTTTTAGGGCCTTATTTTGCAGCTTTGTTACATTAATCTAAGACTCACTCTCAAAAGTAATATCTGGAAACATTAAATGAGTAGCTACTAGTAGCAGGCATCTTAAGAGAAAAGGGCAAACAAAACAGGCCTGTTCCATAACTTTCTGGAGCTTGTAACGTGGTTGCCATGATCTGAGAGGTACAGCGCATGATCAGGGAGCTCACTGAGGCCTGGAGAGCAAGAGGCACCCAGAGGAAATGTGAGAGACACCCTGAAGAACAACCACGGGTAGTGGAGTGAAGGTGTGTGGGGAGGGGCCTCCTGGAGGACTGGATGGGGTGCGCCAAGGCCCCGTGGCAGGAGCTTAAGGGTGGGGATGACACCAGGGAAGTAGGCAGGAAGCAGATCATTCACACTTATCAGCTACCATCTAACCATCTTGGACTTGAACCTAAAAGCAATAGGAAACCACTAAAGTCATGTCCCCCCCCCCCCAGTCAGTAAAATAGGGAAAGTGTACTAATCTTAGATTTAGAGACTAAAGAATTATGACGCACTGCTGTCACCATCCCAGGAGATGCCCTGCATGCCCTGCCACCTGGAGTCTACTGTTAGAGTCCCAATTTACACCTAGACTAGAGATAGAGAACATCTGAGAGGCAGGATGCCCGCAGAGAGGTCCACTTCTTTTTCACCATCCATTCTTTCCTCTGGGAAGTAAGTGAAAAATACCTTATTCATTCCTTTTTCTCTTATTAGTGCTGGGGATTGAACTCAGGGCCTCTCCATGTGAGGCAAACTCTGCACCATGAGTGACTCCTCTCCATGTTTTACTTTTTCTTTTTTCTTTTTTGGTGGACCCAGGGATTGAACTCAGACCCTTGCACTTACCAGGGAAGCACTTATTCTATTAAGCCATCTCCCCAGCTCCTTACTTTTTCAATGTAAACCTTCTTCATGCATGAGGTATGTGTCCAAGATTTGGTTTTTGCATGAGATTCAGTTGTTTCAGCTTCATTTCTTGGATAAGATGCACTTTTTTGTGAGGGGGGGGGTGTTCTGGGGATTGAATTTAGGACCTTGTGCTTGCCAGGCAAGCGCTTATTCTACTGAGCTATTTCCCCAGCCTCATTTCTTGAAAAGAACATTTTTTTTCTCCATTGCAGGCTTTGCAGCTTTATCAAAAATTAGTTGGTAGGGCCAGCTAAGTAGCTCAGCAGATTAAAGTACCTGCAAGCAGGCACAGGGGCTGGGGGTTCGATCCAGGCCTGCTGTGCCCTCCCCACCCCCACCCCCCACACTGAGACAGCAATTGAGACTGGGCATGGTGGTGCGCACCTGCAATCCCAGCTCTTGGGAGGCTGTAAACAGGTGAATCACTATGAGACCCTGAACACCCTGTAGACCCTTCCCTAAAAACTACAA